TATCTCTTTCTAACAAACTGAAGCGATTAGAGAGATTATGAGCATAAAAATTGGATATCTTTTTTTGAAGAGCTTTTATTTTCTTATTTAATTTATTTGTATTTTTTATTCTGCGGTACATATATATTTTGTTTCTTATTGTTAGTTATTTAATTCAATTTAGTTTTTTAATTACACATAAATTTGAGTTCTTAATATGAGATTGAATTTTAATTCTCTATGGTTATTTTAGATTATATTTAAGTTTAAATTGTAATAAATAATATTTTATTAAAATTTTAATAGTTTTATTTAAATTTAGATATAAAATAAATAATATTTTATTAAATTTTAATTTTAAAAAATTTGAAACAAAATATCATTTAATAAGTACATAAATATATACCCGTTAGTTAGCTGATACTTATTGGATTAAATATCAAGTATAAATCTTTAAAATTTAGATAAATATCAAATTTAAAAAGATAAATATAAAAAATTTCAAATTAAATATTAAATATATCTTATATTCTATCTGTCCCAAAAAATCTCATCCTAGTTATTAGTACCAAAAAGCTTTTCCAAAATCGAAAAGCAGGAAAGACGAGGGACAGAGCCCAAACAGAAAGTGTGGGCCGGGAACGGGAAAGCAAGACTAAGAAGATTGGGCCGAAAGAAAATTGAGCTAGCTGGACAATTTAGTAAATTACATAGGAGAAGTAGGGTTTTTGGCTTTCTCTTCTATAAAATCGCTCAGTTTCCAACCTCCGCACAATCCCTTCGCAGTCTCGTACCTCTTCGCCGTCCGGCTTCAAGGTAGGTTTCCTCTTCGACTGTTTCCCTTCCTCATCTAGTTTCACTACAATCCTTTGTTAATCGATTCATATGTTGTTTCTTTAGTAGGCAGCAGACAGAGTTCAAAATTTATCAACCACAATGTCGGGGTGAGTTCTCCAATCTCTCTTCCAAATTCCAAATTTATCATTTTTTTTATAAATGATCCTGGAATTAGCGTCTAGATTCGGTTCTTTAGTTCTCGAATTGGATTTTATCTCTCTGTGTTTGCTGCAATTTGATGTTAGTCTGTTGCAATTATATCTAATGGCTGTTGTTTTTTTTTTTTTTGGCACATGGTTTGATAAGTTAGTTTTTAGGACACGTGATAATTTAGAAAATGGTAGTTCAAGGGTTCGCATGATGTTCTAGAAGGATGATCTGTTGTTATCGTATAATGTTTGTTTCAGTGAAGAGGCTGTTCCCGCTGCTGAGGTTCCTGCCGTGATTCCTGAGGATATGGACTTGATGACGGCTCTGCAGCATGTACTGAGGAAATCACTTAACCATGGTGGGCTTTCTCGGGGCATTCATGAAGGTACAAAGGTGATTGAGAAGCATGCTGCCCAGCTCTGTGTTCTTGCAGAGGATTGTAACCAACCTGACTATGTCAAGCTGATCAAGGCACTTTGTGCTGAGCACAACACACACTTGATTACAGTTCCGAGTGCCAAGACCCTTGGCGAGTGGGCTGGGGTAAGTAGTTTTTGGTGCAGGGTTTCCTTTTTTATTTTTGGCCCAATTGGTATGTCAAGAGATTCTGTGTATGGTTGTTTCTATAACCCAGTCAGGTAGAAATGGAGAAGGTTATTTTATGTGGTTCTTGGCCATGTTACTTGCTGAAGATAATTTGATTATATGAGTCATCTGATCGTGAGTGAATTTGATTATTTTTAATCATGATTCCATATTTTGTTTTCATCTGATCACCTCTTGTTTACATTTGCCCCTGGACTGTTACCGCCCTTCTCTGCAATTTGTTTGAGTTTTATGTTTGCTTTCCTGTTAACTCTTTCTCTGGTGTTTCCCTTGTTTGCTTATTACTACACTATCATGAAAAGTCATAAACTTCTGTTTGTGTTCAACATTTTTCTGAAATGTGATTGTTTTGGTTCCTCAATTTGCAGCTGTGTAAGATTGATTCAGAGGGTAAGGCCAGGAAAGTGGTTGGTTGCTCCTGTGTTGTCGTGAAGGTAAGAGTCCATGTCATGGTATTTCTTGCAATGTTTATTGTTCTTGCTTAGATTTAAGTCTGTTAATATTCTGCACTCATCTGGTTGCAGGACTTTGGAGAGGAAAGCACCGCACTCAGCATTGTTCAGCAGCATGTGAAATCTCAATAAGTAGCTAGTTGAGGAGGTTAAACTAGAGTTTTATCTAAGAGAATCCTGTCAATTTGGAAGAACCTTGAGTCCTGGGATATTTTTTTTTTTTCTTTTTCTATCTTGCTCTACTTTTTTATGTACCTTTAATGGATTTTGTTTTGTTTGAGGTTAAACATCCTATTTAGTGATATGGGAAGACATGTGTTACTGATTTAATTAACTTTTTATGGTGTTGAAAAAGTTGCTCCTTTTTGTTTGAATGGAATGATTCGCTAAGTTCAAATTTAAATGCTCTTTGCAATATGTAGATTTTGAAGTTTATAAATCATGATGAGACTTTGCTGATCGGATTGGGCAGCCTGTTTTGCACTTCTGGTCAACCATTTTCGACTTTACCTTTTCCTGTTTCCTTTTATGTCCCCCTGTTGTCATTAAAAGCAGAAGAGGGCAGCTGTAAACCAAAGCAACCCTGCTTCAATTTTGTACACACGCACTACAATTATAGGGATAGGGTGTTTGGTACGATGAGATTTGTGATTAGCGGTTTGGATTTGAAGGATGAATACAAATGTTTGGATTATAAATAAGAGTGTAGTGTTTTTGAATTACATCATTATGTAAAACACTAATCATTAGATTATGGATGTTGTTAAACACCACTAATTGGATTACAGGTGTTGTTATGTTTTGTAATCTAATATAACTTGAATGATAAAACACTTCTTTTTAGAAGTAATTGAATATCTAAACATTCCCATGAACTTGATTAAACAAGACTAGAATTGCTACCTCTTGTGAGTTTCAACTTCCATTGCCTTGGT